TTACAGAATCCACATATTCCTGCCAGTTTTAATATGTATTTTGTAATCAACAAGTGTGTAACCCCGGTCAAAGTTTGACACTTCTCGGGCCATTATCTCCGTAACCGTTCAACTTTGGACATAGGTGTTTTGGGTTATATCGGCATACTTTAACATAAGGAACACCCTCCCGAAGTTTGGCACATTCCTCCTGGGACACCCTGTATATATATATACAGAGGGGTCTAAAAATGTACTCACTCTTTGATAGTCAATATCTTTGGAATAAAATGACATGTAGTTACAATTCTTGCGCGGAGAGAGAGACATAGTATGTGTACGGAGTGACCACCATCAGCGGCTAAACACCGTTCGCTCCCGCCGAACTGCTGAGCGAACTACGGCTGTAAGTGTCCGGTGTGACGGCTGCACACGACGCTTCGACCAATCAAACCGCGCGATGACAGACCACACCACACATTAACACCCGGTAGATTCACTTCCTTGTCCACGTAAACGTGTGGATTTACAGGAGCCCAATACACAATTGTGGCTGTTAACAGTACCGTTCATTTTGAATTGTGCCTCGTCAGACCAGATAACTTTCCCTGCAAACTCATCATCCTCGCGAACCATGTCTTCAAACCACTCGCAGTATATAAGCCTTCCATCCGGGTCGTCCTCGTTCATAGCGTACAGCACTCTTGGAATGTACAATTTCCACTTTGCAGCTCTAGCCGTACACTTGACCGGCTTACCCCACTTTTGCGTGCACACTGATGCACAGATTTTTGCGGAGAACATGTAAGGTAAGTTTTGAGGTTTTCACGGCGATGACTATGAAGAAAGTCGTCTTCTGGGTTTTGGCGCCGTGTATTCTTCGTTTTGGCTGACGTTTCGGAGGAAGGTATTGCCTCTATCTTCAGAGCAGGTGAATGGCTTCGAATGCAGAGAGCAGTAGCTGTAGTGATAGGAAGTGAAAGGCGCTGCTTATATACGAAGTAGGCAGGGGGGTGGTTAAGGAGTGCGGACCAATATGAGCAGTGGAGACCGATTAAGGCCATATATGGTGTTATGTGCTAAGTGAGGGTGGGGAACGGCCAGTGAATCCAGGAAACATGAGGTCAATAGCACTAGGAAGTTGCGGTTGGTTGGGGACAGGCTACTGACGTCAATGACATGACGAAGAACTAGTGTGGCTTGTTGGATTTCTCTTGAGGGAAGAGATGAGAGGCTTCCATGACTTCTTGAGACTGAACCCTGTTTCTTTGTTCATGTTGTTCGGATGGAGCTCGATCTCTACGGCCTCCATGATTATGCGATTTAGGTAACGGCTCTTACTGGTGATTATGTCGGTTTTGTGAAACTGGATACGGTGGTCTAGTTAGATGCTGTGTTCAGCTACGGCTGACTTGTCCGGATGTTCTAATCGTAAATGCCGTTGATGTTCTTTCAACCTGGTGTCTACAGAACAGCCCGTCTGCCCGATGTAGACCTTGTCACACACATGGAATTCTATAAATTCCCGGTGTCCTCAGTCCCAGGTGATCCTTGACAGGCCGGAGGAAATTAGATATTTTCTTTGGGGGCAGGCGAACTGATTTGATGTTGTGTCGGGACAGCACTCTGCTGATCCTGTTGAATATAGTTCCGACAAAGGGCAAGAAGGAGACAGTTTCTCTGCTGTTACCAGGTTGATTGCTGTTGGGATGGCGGTTGAGGGCCCTGTGGATCTGCTGGTCCTTATAGCCATTGCGTCTGAATATGTCCTTCAGGAACTCCAACTCCGCACGCAGACTCTCTTGATCGCACAGAGCTCTGGCCCTGTGTACCAGTGTGGACAGAGCTTCCTGTTTACTGGAAGGGTGATGATGGGACTTGGCATTGAGATAGAGGTTGGTGTGTGTGGGTTTGCGGTATACCGGGGTATTACCCAGCACGAAAAATTTGTGTCATGAAATTCGGACAGGGGAAGCCATGCCAATCAATAAAAATCCCTATCGAATGCCCTACTCGTTATGGGGGAAATGAAACGCTAGTTGGATGGGATACTAGCCAAAGGGTTTATTAACCTTTGTTCGACGCCATGGGAGGCACCTGTGATTTTGGTGCTCAAAAAATCCCCCGATGGAATACCAAAGTACAGATTTTGCACAGACTTTCGCGGTTTAACCGTTCCGTAACTAGTACGCCAGTACACCCCATACCACATATAAAGTAACCTTTCGCTAATGGCTGGAAGCAGATACTTTACCTTGCTAGATATTGAAAATGCGTACTGGAATATCCCCATAAGTGATGAAGACAAGGACAAAACAGGATTTGCAACCCCATTTGGTAGTTTTAGGTATGAAAGTATGGCTTTCGAACTTTCCGGAGCCCCTTCGACATTTCAACGCGTCATGGGTGCTATGTTAGTTGGATTACGTGATATCGAGGTACTTGTGTGCCTGGACGATTTATTGATATTTAGTGAAACAATTGAAAACCATGTGAGACGGATGAGGTTAGTTTTCGATAGCGTACGAGAGGCTAACTTTAAGCTGAACGTAGCTAAATGCACTTTTGCGGTACTGGAAGTAGTGTATCTAGGACACATAGTGAATCATGACGGTGTCGCTCTAGGTCAAAGCAAAGTTATGGCTTTCAAGAATTTTCTACGATCTCAGAATATTAGGGATGTGAGAGCATTTTTGGGTTTATCTGGATATTATCGATTATTTATTCGAAATTATGCAGCCACGAGTCGACCTTTAACTCAACTGACCAAGAAGGATGAAAAAATTGTGTTGACAAGACTGCAGCAACAGGCTTTTGTTAACCTCAAGGCATCTTTGACATCCGACTCAGTGCTGGCGCATCCTCGGTTCGATCAGCCATTTATTCTCGGCACGGATGCTTCTGATTACGCTATTTCCGCCATTCTGAGTCAACTGCATAATAGCAAGTAACGGCCGATCAGCCGCATGCTGAACGCTGCCGAAAGAAATTACAGCACTATGCAGAAGGAATTGCTAGCTGTTGTATTTGGTACCCAAATTCACAGATGATTTTTGTATAGTAGGAAATTCAAAATTGTCACTGATCACGCCGCTCTTAAGTGGTTGATCACTGTAAAAGATCACCATTGTGCTCAGTTAACGAGATGGTATTTAAAATTTTCAGAATACGAGTTTGAAATTGAACATAAGGCAGGAAAGAAACATGTAAACGTGGACTGCTTGTCGCGTCATGTAGCTTCCGTTGTTACAGATGGAGACCGGAAATCACCCGATGATAACGTAGGCGAGGCGCTTACTCGTGAGACTGTTTTCGCTGCACAACCACAGGACACACAATGCATGGGAATAATAACCAAAGCCCGAAACGGCATCGCTGTCGGTTAC